AAAATTTCATCAATCACTGACAATTTCATCACTAACAACTCTATCAATTTGTGATGCCCAAAATAATGACTGAAAATTTTATCTTAAACATGCTTACCTTTGACTTTGGACAGACTAGAAATCTTCGCCCTGGGTTTGAACTGGTCCAAGAAGTCTACATCCGTGCTAACTTCCCACAATGACACCATTGGCCATGCCCTCCTTCTCCTTGCTTCTCTCCTGTTTCCATCATCCCAAATCTTCTACTCCACAATCTTCCAATTTCAAACTCCACCTCAGAGTTTTACAAAGAATGATTTCTTCTCCAATTTCTCCCAAAATCGAAGGAACCCTCAGATTTTGACAACAACCCTCTTCTCCAATGAACCCTAAACCCAATTTCTCCTTTGTTACAAACTGAGAAACCTTTATTCGAACAGCTTAAAGGTTAAAACGAAGTGGGCCCACTGTTCGTAACGGACCGTCAAAAAATTTGACGGATGGGGTAAATTGATACGGTTATTTATACGTTGGGGGGGTACTTTGAGACGTTTTCCACCACAGGTGGTAATCTGAGATAAACGTAAAAGCACAGGGGGCATGTACATAATTAAGCCATTAAAATATACATTCAAAGATTCCGATCTGTGATTCGTTTGGTGAACAGTACAAACATAGACTAACATCCTAAGGTTTTAAATAATTTTTACAAAACTCATTTCCATTTATTTTTCATCGAAAGATTGATAATTTTAATGACAAAGTTAGCCTTTGAGATTATATTGCAAATACATTCATTGAGGTTACTTTTGTCATTTAATTAAGTTTTCTTTTATAAAATCATCATTTTTTAGATGAAGAATTAATGAAAAGGGGTTTTGTGACAATAATTTGAAACCTCAAGGGAGTGTTTGTATTATTTTTCAAACATCAAGGGATTTTGTGAAAACACCAAAAATTTCGAAGGGTATTAATGCAAATAACTAAAAAAAATACATATTTCAAAACAAACTACAGAATAAAGTGTAGTCGTAGAGCAGTGAAGTTTGGTTTGATTCAGCAGAACATGAACATGTAAAGCAACGTTCACAGGATACTAGTACGCACACAAGCTATTTGAAAGGAAATATATATAAAACAGAGTCAGTTATACTCCTTTTGAGACTTACTATAATTGAGGGAGAAGAATTAATTCTTTGAAATTTTATATCTTCTCTTCCATTATAGCAGAACATACATGTTCTGACATGTATATAAGAATTAGAGACTAATCAACGTGATTAAACGTCAACTGTGTGTATCAACTTGTTAAATTGTGTCGTGATATCCAGCTAATAAAAGAGGAATCAAATTGTTAAGGCTCATGGCCATTCACATGCATTAAGCACACCTTAATTAACTAATGCTTTACAATATCGTACGTACCCTGTTTATGGCAACGAAAATCTGATAAATGATACGTTCATAGGCAGCTTGATCTATACATTGAAAAATTCTGATCCTTTTATCACATAAATCAACGATTACAATGAAGAATCACTTGGACAAAGCTCCACTTTCTCTGATCATAGTGTACTGAACTGGGTGGCCAATAAAAATATATATAATACAGAACCTACGTTTCTAATTGACACTACCTTTTGTACTCTATTTTATAAGCAACTCAAAGGTTATCAGCTATCATTATTTCGGAAATATTGGTGATCCAAAAATCTTGAAATGTCAACAAAACATTGAGAATCAAATACATTGAATTAGTTTTTATAATGAACATTATTTAGAAGATGTTCAATTAATCAATTGTCCACTATTTTGATAAAAAAAACAACTTCACGGTTCACAGTGAGTGTAGAATGACTGGAACTCCACGCTGTGGGCGAACTGTCATGAACTGAATGGGTGAGTGGACATAACCAGGGGAAAGGGTGAAGCTGTAGCGCTGTAGAATCATTGCCAGAGCAATCTTGGATTCGACGATTGCGAAGTTCATGCCCACACAAGTTCGAGGTCCCAATCCAAAGGGTATGAATGCGACCATGTTGTTGTTAGTAGCTTTAGCAACCCCTTCTGAGAATCTCTCTGGTTTGAAAACGTTCACATCTTCTCCCCAATATTTGGGATCATGATGAAGTGATAGATTTGGGACGTGCACTTCAACATTAGCCGGAACAACCATCTTTCCCAGCCTTACTTCCTTTTCTGTTTCCCTAATAAGTGAAACGACTGGAGGATATAGCCGCAGAGATTCATTGAAGATCATACTCATCTGCATATGCATGCATCCAAATGAAAAATTAGAGGACAATAAATTAAATGAGGATTTCAAAACTTAACCACTGATTTAGATACATAAGCTAGCAATTAACTGATTGAGTTTCTTACCGTTTTCAGTTTGTTGAGGCCATCAGGGTTTGGATTTTCTTTTCCAAATAATTGTAGGACCTCCTTTCTTGCTTCCTCTTGCCAATCCGTATCGAGTGCCAGAAGAAAGATGGTCCAAGCAAGCAAAGAATTAGTGGTTTCTTGTCCAGCAAAGTAAAAGGTTTTGCATTCATCAACGATTTCATCTATGGAAATCCTCTGGTTTTCATCGGTATCATGATGAGCCTTCAAAAGTACTCCAAGAAAATCACGCCCAAACCCGTCTGCTTCTCCAGTCATTGCTTTGCTTTCTCTTTTCCTAACAATCCCTGCTATGGTGTCGCGTACTCCTTTCTCAAGCTTTTCCATCTCGATCTCATCACGGGGTTTGTAAAACCGACTGCAAATTTTGAACAAAAGACTAAACATGAGTGACAACTACAACACTATTGTTGTGAATAGAAAATATTCCACAGCTAACATAACCTCATTGATTCTTTAGGATCATTTAGAACTGAACTCCTCCTCTGGCACCGAAAGCTCCAATAATCAAAGCCCAGAAGCCCCTAGCCGAGAACAAGGACAAGATCAAAGAGAGAGCGAAGACGATTATCCCAAGGGACTTTCCACAAACATGTGGTGGGCAGACGTGAAAGGAGCGTTGGGACAAAGGTTCAACTTTGGAGCCATTGCTCGTTCAGCCAGGGTACTCACAAAAGACAAGCACTTGGCACTGCCTCACGTCTCTGTGCCTGATATAAGGTACATTGATTGGCCTGAGTTGCATAGAAGGGGCTTCAAGGGTGTTGTGTTTGACAAGGATAACACTTTAACTGTGCCTTATTCTTTGACGCTCTGGGGTCTTCTTGGGTCTTCATTGGAGCAGTGTAAATCTGTTTTCGGACCCGATATTGCGGTGTTCAGTAACTCGGCTGGTAATATTTTGCAGAACCCAGTTGGAAAATTTTGCTGTTTTTATTGTTGGTTATAGATTTTTGTCAAAGTAATGATCTTGGTTTGATGGTTAGGGCTTTATGAGTATGACCATGATGGTTCAAAAGCTAGGGAGCTTGAAGGGGCTATTGGAATAAAAGTCATAAGGCATAGTAAGTGTTTGTTTTTCAATATAAGCATTAATTCTACTGCAAATGTTTTGAATTTGTCATATATATGTGTGTGTGTATATATATATCAAAACTCCATTTTTGTAAATTACAAGTTTTCTTAAGAAGTGCGGAGTTTATGTGGCATTGATGTGGGTATTTTATCTTTATGTTATAGAAGTGAAGAAACCAGCTGGAACTGCTGAAGAGATCGAGAAGCATTTTGGTTGTAAAGCATCACACCTTATTATGGTAGATAAGAATTCATGGACCTTGTGAGTTGTTTTATTTGATGTTTTTCTGGATTCTTATGAATGGTGACTTATGGGGCATTTTTGTGTGTGGTAGGTGGGTGATCGGCCCTTAACTGATATCGTTTATGGGAATCAAAATGGCTTTCTGACTATTTTAACTGAACCGTTGAGTCTTGCCGAGGAGCCATTCATTGTTAGGCAGGTTGGTTTTCAATTCTTCTCAATTTCTTTTTATGTACTGCAAGTGAATATTGTGTTCCTTGCTCTATTCCAAACAAAGTGACAAAAAAGAAAGAGTAAAATTAGACGTATAAAAGATGTTATTATATCTGGTTAGGCTGTTGGTGCAAATGGTTGTCTATTCCCAAATTGGTTAAACGAAGAGTCAGTCCAATAAAACATAATTTGTGAAATGCCTAGTTTGTGGTGTCAGTAATTATTCTCTGTTTGTCCTTGTGATTTGGTAAAGTTCAGATCCTCTTTTGAGTTGTCTTGTAGGGTGGGGGATGGTGGAAAAACCCAAGTTTTAGCAAACCAAATATAAAGAAGAAAAGAAGGGAAAATCAAACTAAACCATAAAAAACTTCCAAAGTAAAGAGGACCATCCAAGTGTGTAAAATATGCATTGAACTCATTACTAGAATTTCTCACCCTCTCAAAAGTTTGACTTTTAGGCTCTGCTTAAGTTCAACGAAACAAGCATAAATGAGCTGCTCCCAGATTTCCAAACTTGTCATGCGTCATTCTTTCCTATGTTGTGGCTATTTGAAAGTGACTTGAAAACTTAGCTGTGCTGTTTCTGGGGTTTTTGCCCCCCTTCATTATAAAAAAAAAACAAGTGACTTGAAAACAGCGCATGCAAAAAGATATCAGATAACAGAAAAGCATTCCTCTTGGTAAGAAAGGTATTGTGAGGGCAAAGGCCTTCAAAGCTACGTCGAAGGATTTCATCTAATATTGCTTTTGCCTGAAATACATTCCAACCAAGTTTTCTGCCTTCTCCTTTTGAAACTTATAATCTCACAAACTTCAAAAACACCATAGGAAGTTTCAATTCCCAATCATGACATGTGAACCCCTCTGAAATATGGTTTCAGCAGTCGCCATCATAGTAAAAAAATTAGACTGTTGAGTTGTTTTGGATTAGGTGTGGGACCTTGTGCAGAGACGATGCAAAAGAAATGATTTTTTTTCCCTTTCATAATTTACACTTATTTTTCAGTTGGATATTTTGGACCGTATCAACCCTGTAATTTGTGCTCTTATATTGCTGCAGTTAAAAGGTCCAAATTTCTGTGATTTGTCTCTGATAATTTGCTGGTAACAATTGCAGGTGAGGAAACTAGAAACATCCCTTGTGAACCGTTGGTTTAGGAAAGGGTTAAAGCCCACCAGTCATAGGCTGTTGCCAGACGGTACGCAGTGTGTGAAACATCCACCACCCCTATAAGAATTATTGTTGATATAGTCAAAAACAAAAATTATTGTATCTGTCCGTGATTTCATTAGTTTTACCATTTTTTTAATTCAAAGCAATGAGAGAAATTTCTGTCCTCTTTCCCCCCGTTCAATTGAGCAATATTTTTACACAAGCTGGCTTCATAAAAGGAAAAAAAAAGAAAGAATGAAAGATGAAAGAACAAGGGAAGGTCAAAAAAATTCAAGCTGCTCTATTAAACCTTTAACGAAGATCACTATCGTCTTTTTTATACGAAGTTCGATTAATGACATCTTGACTGACAAGCAACACAGAAGTTTGTGGCAGTAGATTTGTATGCCTAAAGTACATTTCTCAAATTTCAGGAGTTGAACTTGGAATGATCCCTAAAAGTTGATATGGCTCAGCAATATGTACTGATATTGATAATGACTTTCAAGAAAATGTCTAGAGTTTTCCGTAGGAGAAGTCAATGCATGGGTATACTCAGCATGGATGGCTCATTTGAGGTTCAATGATTTCAGCAATAAATTAAATACAAATTTATAAATAAATCCAATCTTAGACATGTATTTATAAAAAAACCCAAACACTATTTAAACATAGAAACACACCCAAAATCAACAATTGTATATTTTTTGGGTGTGTTTATAAATGGGTTTTGAGTGTGTGTAATGATGGGTTTTGGGTGTGTTTATAAAGTGTTTTGAGTGTTGGGTTTTTTTATAATTTCAGCCCCCATTTTGGGTGTTTTAGTGAAACCCCCTATTATTAATGGGCTACAAGCTACGCCAGTATCTTGAATGTAAATCAATATTAATTGTGAGGCCCCCATCAAAGTGGGGCCCTGATCTGTCGCTTACCTCATATTAAATTATTCACATAAAATATTTGTCATCTCCATTGATATTTTATCAATATTATCGATATTTTAGACCTTAATTCACGAGCAGTGTCACTGCTTGATTGGCATATAATTAGTTGACCTCTTTAGTATGATTAAATTAGGAACTAATGTCGTCTTTCTATTTATTTTTTTTCCAAACTGATTAAGACATAAATTGCTGGCGGCCCCGATTGATAATAGCATAAAAATAATTAAAAATTCATCCATCGCTAACTCACACCCTTAAAGTGGGAAATATATTATCATTAATAATCATGGGTGAGCATATTTAAATTGTGGACTGGAAGGGAGAAACAGACACAGAAAGGTTGAATCAGTCTCACTACCGACATTCCGAATCAATTCATGTTTTTATTTTTTTGCTGTATATGTATTTCCATTTAGACCCGGCAATTGTGCGGTCGTACACGGTAGACCAATCAATTTATTCAGTTAACGAATTTTCTAATTGTTGACCAATAATATGCTCGTGTTACAACTAGAAACTAATTTAATATGATTAATATGACCCAAAAAAAAAAGTAAACATGAGATCAACAGGTGCATGTATGTGTCATAATTGATAGACTTATTTTAATGGTGGGCTTCACCTCTATGAGAGAGATAGTACACAAGTTGGTATCTAAAGATGGTCTCCCTAGTATCACCCTAACTGATAATTATACACAATCGTGAACGGAATATTATCCTCCAATAGCGTGAAGCACATGCAAAGATTCACAAAGTCACATATGAACAAGGACCATTTAACACACTAAAGTCTTCGTTTGAAAAAAATACACCCAAACAGAGACACACACTAAAGTCTTGTTTGTTGACTCTAGACCATTTAACACATCAGATGCCATCACCATCGCTACAACATTCAAGTCAAAAGCACATTTCTTCATATGAAAATTCGCCGGTTTTACGTTATTTTTAGGCCACCCAATCAAAAACTTATAACGCGTCTGAAAATGCAACCAAATTTCTTGACGCCAAGTTACCATCACTTTCTGCCAAAAGTCTGAGAAAATAAAAGCATTACATTAATTTTCAAAGATAAAATATATAATATAAAAAATGATAAAATATATAATTACGTAAGTAATTACCTGACGACCGACCCTGCCTGCTCGTATAGAAGGTGTTGTGCATTGGGGTAAATCTGACCTCGTCTATCTCCAATCTCCACGAAATGGATAATATAGCTTAGAGATTTGACCAAAATTAATAACGTTCCCATAAGCAGATTATAGAAAGAGTTTAAATTTTAAATATATATATATATATATCTTGCATCCTATTTATACTATTTTCTAAGAAAATAATTTCCCACCATTTTTGTAATTAAAAGCATGAAACAAATTAAATGACACGTTAAGAAAACTCTTTAAAACATGAGAAAATGATTTCCAAGAAGAAAGAAACAAGTCAACATTCAAAGCTATTGAAAAAACCAAACAAGTATTCCCCGCCCATGGGAATGGAGCACATTTCGTGGCCAGCTGTTTACCTCCTTTGGGAGAGCTCCCGCAGCGAAAGGGATTAGTCACTGCTGTCGGCAGTGGACACCCTTGGGTCTAACCTAAAAAAAAAAAAAACCAAACAAGTATTCACACCAAAACCCAAAACCAAAACACAAACTCTCTGACTCTTGACTCTCAACTCCAAACACATAAAACAAAATTTTCAGCCCCTCTCTCAACAAATCCGTCATTTTCACTTGGCTGTTTATGTGTTTCCAGAGTCTCCTAACTTTGACTATTTAGACCCATCAATTTATTCAGTTAACCAACAATATATAGTCCTCTATAGTGGAATATGCACGAACGCCCCTTGAGATTTTAAATTATTTTCACAAAATCCCTTTTCATTGATTTTTATCCAAAGATTGATGATTTTATATATATATATATATATATAAATTTCCCAAATAACAAAGTTAGTCTTTGAGATTAGATTGTAAATACATTCATTCAAGTTAATTTTGTCATTTGTATAAATTTTCTTTTATAAAATCATATTTTTTGGACGAACAATCAATGAAAAAGGATTTTGGATATTCGTGTTAATTTTTAAACCTCATGGAGTTTTATAAAAACATCGAAACCCTCAAGGGGTATTAATGTAGATAACTAAAAATATATATATTTCAAAACAAACTATATAGAGTAAATTGTAGTTGTAGAGGAGTGAAGTTTGGTTTGAAGAACCTCCTGATTTGATTCAGCTAAACATGAACCACTACTAGAAAATTATCCACTACTCACTGATCTAGATACAAATTCATAAAAGTGGCTTTTAAATTTTTTTTGGAAACTAATAATCCCACACCTATTAAAGATTTTTGAGATAGACATTGATGTGTAATACAAATAAAGAAATTTTCATTTTTTTTTATCTTAATATTTGGGCTCTTTTATCAGTCCCCAACACTCCTAGGAAACTTATAAATATAAAAAAAACAAAAACAAAAATTACAAATTGTATGCCATCTGACACAAACTCAGTCAAACATTGGTGGGACTCTATAAAAAAAATGGTTTGTCAATGTTCAAGGTTAAACCTCCGGGTATATTTTAAATATCTATTAGTTAATGTACAACTTGATTAAAATATACATTCAAAGATTCCGATCTGTGGTTGGTTTGGTGAACAGTACAAACATAGACTGACATCCTAAGGTTTTAAATAATTTTTACAAAAACCATATCCATTGATTTTTCGTCAAAAGATTGATGATTTTACTGACAAAGTTACCCTTTGAGATTATATTGCAAATACATTCGTTGAGGTTACTTTTGTCATTTACTTAAGTTTTCTTTTATAAAATCATCATTTTTTAGATGAAGAATCAATGAAAATGGGTTTTGTGAAAATAATTTGAAACCTCAAGGGAGTGTTCGTATTATTTTTCAAACCTCAAGGGATTTTGTGAAAACACCAAAAACTTCAAAGGGTATTAATGTAAATAACTAAAAAAAACTACATAATAAAGTGTAGTCGTAGAGTAGTGAAGTTTGGTTTGATTCAACAAAACATGAACATGTAAAGCAACGTTCACAGGATACTAGTACGCACACAAGCTATTTGAAAGGAAATATATATAAAACAGAGTTAGTTATACTCTATAAGAGCAAGTCTAGCGCCCAACCCAAACTGGGTGAAAGGCTCCAGCGCAGGGCCCGTAGCCAGGTTTCATGGTGGGTCCTACGAGCCCGAGGAAGCCCAGGGGCAAGTCTTGCCCGGGCTAAAGCCCGAGTCTGGTGACGTCAGCGTGACGCAGCGCTGACGTCACCACCTGACAGCCTCCAACGACCGTTTGCCACGTGGCACGACAGGGGCGCTCGGATGGCTTTTTTCCATAAATCCGACGGTCCTCGTTTTTTTGACTAAAAAAATTGCAAAAAAAATCGAAAAAATTCTGAAATTTTTTTTAAAAAATACCCAAAAATTCTATATTTTTTCTCTATAAATACCTAACCATTTTATTTACTTTCCACACTAAATCTTCATACAATTTCTTCTCCATCCAATATTTTTTACTCTCCACTCACATTATTCACTTTTCATACCAATTCTCCATACAAACTCTTCTCCTTCCAATATTTTTTACTCTCCACTCACATTTTTCACTTTCCACACCAATTCTCCATACAAACTCTTCTCCTTCCAATGTTTTTTACTCTCCACTCACATTTTTCTACTACTTTCCATTTGTATAAAAAAAACAAATGGCATCTTCTGTCGAAGTCGGAGGCTCGTGGTCAACTCAGGAAGATATTGCGTTGTGTCTGTCAATCTTGGGTGAACATTAGTCATGACCCTATCACGGGCAATGAGATGAAGTTTCATCACATGTGGAGCAAAATTCATGGAGAATTTTGTCAAAGATCGGGTTCTATTCGGACCGAAATGGCATTGTCTAGTAGATGGAAACTTTTAAATAAAGAGTTAAGGAAATGGAGAAATATCTTGACAAAAGCAAATGCGAACATTCAAAGCGGTCAAAATTTGACCGATGAGGTAAAATATTTATAATTGTCATTTTAATCAATTCAATGTCACTTTCTTTTTTTATTGCATATTCTATTTGTTTTTCTTGCATAATTTTTTTGGAA